CCTGTGCCAGGTTCGTGAACAAAAGAAAGTTACATAACACCGCACAATCTGGGCTCTTTTTACAAGGCTGCAGGCGTGACTGAAATACTCGGGCGTCAATAGATTTTGTCTGTCAGACTAGAGTGGCCACCAGACAGTAATTCATGTGGGTGTAAACGTCCATTAATTGAAATGATGAATTTTTGAAGATTTTTGAAAACTGCAAATCAGGAAAAAGTCCCAATTATGTGCACTGCATTTTTCAAACCACCCGGCAGCAAGTGGTTAATAGACAACTGGATGCACTATGATTGCAAAAATTGGATTCACTTGGTACTGTGTTGTGTCAAATTTAATTCAAACTCGATCTTTGTTTCAGTCTAAGTGAGGGACTAGAGTCCTTATAACTCTGCAAAAGGCTAGTGTAACCTTTTTCCAGTGTGATATAACGTTTCAACATTCTGAAATATGGGACTTACTGACTCTCATGAACAGGATTGAGGTCACATGTAGCAAAGTTTTCTAAAGCTCTTGATGGGAAACTGCAATGTTTTACCAATCGCATTGGGAGCATTCAGGATTTTACTGGGTGGATTGGTCATCCTGAAGAAAAAAATTTGCCAACTTTAACTTTGAGATGTTGATGCTCACACTTGGAAACGGAATGGATTCATCTTGCCTACAGCTCTAACCAACCAGTTGCTATGTTCTCGTCTTGTTGCAGATGCACCTGAGTGTGGTGTGGCAAGGTGGTCAGCTTGGTGCGGCTTACTACGACGGAGAAACGGCCGAGGTCCACATGATGAGGGACAGTGCCGAACCAGACACCTTTACTCTCCTCAACCAAGGTATTATTGCAAGGGTAGCATTGACAACTTGGCTTACCTCCTGATGCAGAGCCCAGGGCTAGCTAGGCAATGCAAAACCTACATGGTATTGGTACATGTCCTGTAGGTCGTTTCTGCATTACTTAACCTCTTGACGCCGGATGACGTGTAATTTTAATAATTTTCCTTAATTGTTCCACGGAGGACGTGTACACTCATCTATGAATTCTTTTTTCGGATTAATGTCTTGTGCTTGGCTGGGTCAAAGCGCAATTGCAAGGTTGAAGAATTTATACGGTAGAACAACCACTCCCCCAGCAACTTTTTCGGGTAAAAAGTCTGACGTTTGCTGGCTATTGACTTGTGGCTGGCAATGACACCTGTGTCTGTGGGAAGCCACTGCAGCTGCCAGCCATTGGCTTACATACATGCATGTGGTATTCTTAGCTGCAGCCACATACATGTGCTTCAGACATGGCTTACATACCCTTGTTAGTAGGCTGCACGGTGCCCTCTACCATGCCCGCTCAGAGCCGAAAGGCTTCATGCATTGTCCAAAAATGGACGTTGTGGATGGGTAGACGAGTCATGGAACTGATTTTACTCATTCACGATGGGGATTCAGGTTAGTGTCTTTTGGTACTTTCCTCACCTTCCTGTGACCTGGGTTCGAATCTCCCCTAGGCAGACATTTGGATTGACTTTTCAGTCCTTGCCCGGCATTTTTTCAGAATGTGTATCTTGTAGTTTCCCTCCCATCAGAACTAAACTTCTCTTGTTTTTTCTTTCCCAGGGCCCCTAGGGACAGTTCACTGATAACAGTTTGTCAGACAATCTCGCCAGTTGATTAGTATGTAACCTCTAAAAAAGATCCCTTTTGCCAAAAGGGTCTTGCGTAGCGTGTACATGTACAAATCCATTGCACCTTGACAGAAATTTTTGATATCCGCAAGGGGCTCTGCAAACCGCTTGTTTTTTTATAATTCACACCAGTGCATGGTTAACGCAGAATTCAATTTGTATTTCCTCCGCCTGAGCCCACATAAGATGCCCTGTTGTAACCATTTATGCGGGGCTCCTAATCATGAACGTGGTATTACCTTATTCAACAACAGGTGTCCTGTAGAAGCTGTGCGGAGAGGTTGACTCATGGTGTTAAGTCCATCTAGCCCATAATTCTCTTTTTTTGGCCATGAGCCATATTTTGTGCCAAGATTCTGTGTAATAGTGCCATGCTTGACTCCCAAGAGGGCCACTCTTACTGAGGGTTTGTTTTAGCAAGTTGCATCTTGTCACGAGTAATAAACTTACAGCAGATGTGTCCGCTGTAAGTGGGGGTAAAGTACTAATTGAAACCACAATAATGATCCTTTTTTTTTACTTATCGTAGGCTTTTCAAAGATCAACTGTGTAATGACAACATGCTTGCTTCCACCACATTAACAATGAAAGAAACCATTTGTGGTCAAGGTCATTACTGATTTCATGTTGAAAAAAAAAGGATTCTTTGAAAGTGTCCTTGTGGAGAGAAGACAGTTGGGAAATGTTCACATAAGTACTCTTGAGTTAGGGATGAAAATGAATATGAAATTAGATCTTTTTTATCATTTTTATTGAGCACTGATATTTCTTGTGATGAAACCAGGGATTCCTTAAAAGGGCCAGAGGCACTGAAGCTTGTAAGCCCGTAGAAACTTACAGAGAGAGAGAGAGGAGACAGTGAGAAACAAGTGGGAAGAAAACCCCAGAGAGATATTCTGAGTAACATCCATACTCAGATTGGAACTGAAAACCCAGTCCACATGTGGATTGAGCTGAGAATCGAACCTGGGCCACATACCGTAGGTGAAAGGCAAGGAAAGAAGCACCACGCCAACCTGACTCCCTGTGTAACCACACCAGTCTTGACCACTTCTTTGTGTCTGCCTGGGTGGAATATGAACCCGGGCTGCAAGGGTGCAGGTTTTGTCAGGAACGTGGAAGGGAGTTTTGGAGGAAGTAGTGATACTGGACAGGTGTGGTTCAGTCCAAATTACTTGGGGTACATGTAGTTCTTACTCTCCAACTGAACGTCCAGCTCCTTAAAGTCTCTTCCTGTGCCGTCCTCTATTTGGAGACCAGAGAATGGCTCGCTTCCTTTGCTAATGCGCGGGGAAGATGTTATTAGTTACCACCTGTTTGGCTTTGTTTGTGAAGAGAAAACAGGTGGTGCTTAACTGAGGGCAAGGACAACTGGGTGTGTGAACCCCAGCATTTTAGTTTCCTCACACTTTTGGACCAATCCTTAGTGATTTTCATCATCTTCTTTTTTTCCTCTTTCTTTTTGTCTCTGGTCCCACCCATTTTTGAGAAATCGGTCGTATGTTGAAAAGTCTTTAGCCCTTTCTGCTTGAAGATTATGAATTTTGCCACAGAAAAAATGACGTCTATTTCTTCTATTTGTCCATGAAAGAAATTCTTTCCAGGAATGTGAAACTTCACTATATTTTGAGTGAATCCTTGTGTCTTTTTGGAATAAGTTTCCATATCACCTACCTGTTCAGATATTCAGTATCTTACCAGAAATATGGAACTTCCATTTACCAGTGGAATGGTACCTCTGTTTTTCTGATTTTGTTGCACCATGGATTGGTATGAATATTTTGAAATGGCACGTGAAACCTTATCCACCAATCACATACTCACGTATTTATTGAGATATTGTACACTGATGAATGACGTCACTTAAGAGTTATATTCACCTGTTTTTTAAAATTTTGTAAACACTGAAAAGGTACTCATTTCTGTTACTCTGGTATCAGTGTTTGCCAGGCTGCCGCACTGCAGGGTAGTATGGTGCATGAAAGTCCATTTCTTGTTGGCCTTCTCATTACTGGCTGCAATGCCATTTGATTCCTGGGCCCAACTTCATAGAGCTGCTTAAGCACAAAATTTGCTTAAGCGAAAGGAAACCTTACTTGATAAATCAGGTAACCAGCCAAAACTCCATGTGATGTATATTGTTTTGGAATGGTATTTAGCTGTCTTTTGGTTAGCATGACAATCACATAGAGTTTGAGCTTGTAACCTTTGTTTTTTTGAAGCAAGGTTTTTCGCGCTTAAGCAGATTTTGTGATTAAGCAGCTCTATGAAATTGGCCCCGGCTGCTCAGAGCCGAGGCCACCAAGGCCACTCAGAAAACAGAAACGCAATTCCAGAAGGCACGGAGTGGTGGAAGTAGTTTGTTGCCGGAATACGCTCATTCATTGTTTAGTAAATGGACCGCCAAATTGATTGCAATTGGAGCTGCTTCTGTGTTTACTTGGTACATCCTGCTCACTTTGCTGATGTATGTACTCAGTCTGTAAAAAAAGGAGGGGAACTCATCCATTTTCTGATATATATCTACTGTAGTTATTTGCTCACTCATGCTTTAATGAGGAAGAAGACATTTAATGAAATCATATTTTGGGCCATTCGGGAAGTGATGATTTCAGGAAAGCAGAACTTAAAAACCCCTCCCCCCTGCTGTCCGAAAGTACAGAGTGCAAATCTGGCGTCGTTTAGTTCCAATTTCCTATGATGCCTGTTGTTGTGCGAGTTGGCCAAGCTGGCTGCTAATTTCATAAGACAACACCTCGGTCCGGGCTTGCAGCCAGGAACTATTGTATTTCCAGGCTGGAAGGAACATTGATTTACTTGTTGGAAGATGGCTGTAACCTGTAGTGCTGTTACACTGCTGCTATATTGTTCCTTCCTCTTTGGCTGATGTCTGCTGAGGGAAATTTTCTCATTCTGCGGCCCCCCCTTTTTTTCCTTTCCCTCTTTTTTCTGTTTGACTTCTCGCGTGTCACTGAACTTACATCCCAGGCAATGTATAGCATATGGCCTTGTCAGAAACAGGGTCTGGGCTGGCGGACCCACACTGTACTTCATCTCATATTCGTCCTTGCCGCACCACGAACTCTACATTTGTCTCACATAGTAGCTTTAATTGCTCATCACTTGTTAGCTGAAGTGATTTCAGGAGTACATTGTTTGTCAGCGGTATAACCGGAAATCCTGGATTAAAGCAGTGTCCAATACAATGTAGGTAATACAGTTGCAGATGTCAGACAAGAACACATGCACGCAATCCCTACCAAAATTACAATAGAAATAAACTGTACGTACATGTACATCTGTTGTACAATGTTTAATCACAGTCGTCCAATCATTGGGACATTCCCAAGTCTTGTTAGACCCTTGTAGGATAACTTGATAAATTAATCATCAGAGCTAAAGCATGTACAAATTTTGATTCATTAATTTGAACCAGTCCTTGGACTTATTTTTGTTTTCAAATTTACGTGCACTTAGTCAGCAGAGGGTCTGACTTTTGTTGCAAGTTCTTTTACATGCAGACGGGTCCTTTCACTTTCTGTGGTTTTAAACTTGGTTTAAGGTTCCTTGTTTGCTTGGAAGAGTTTGTTTGCTCTGCAAGATGCAGTTTTGTTTGCAAACAAACTGGGATCATTTAAGAGTTTAATATGAGCAGCATATAACATCTGGACTTGTGTGATTTTCGTTCTCCTCTTGACATAGAACTTTACGTGCCGAGATCCAAACGCACTCCTGCCATTTCATCTGATTTTGACCAGGCCTCAGACTGTATCTGAATGACATGTACCTGCCTACAGTCTGAAATAATACACGCAAGGAAGCTGCCAGTGAGTGGCTCGATTCATTCCTTTTTCCAGCCACAACCAAGCACAAGTTCCTTGTAGTTCAGTTGAAGCGTTAGCCAGTACACTCGTCAGGTCTGGATCGGTGTATCCCCCTTGAGTAGAAGCACCCCTTCCTTGGTTGAAAAGAGTCGCATTGGTCAGAAGTACACAATCTGTTGGTAGTGATGCGACTGTGACACATGCATTTCCTAGTCGTTTGTGAACCAGCGAAGTTCAGTTCTGACCAAGGGAGCCTCCTTTGCTAAGAAAGCAGTGCCCTCTCTTGGTCTAGCCCGAAGCCCATAGTTTCTTGCTCTCATTTTCCCTAATTACATGCTTGCATCGCATTCATAACTCTTTTTAGGACTTGTCCCACATCCATTAAGCGAGTGGTGGAGTCCTTGAAATCCTTCAAACTCAAAGTTGCAAGTCAAATGAATATTTTATATCTTTCTTTGTTAATATTTAAACAATTGTTATAAACCCTCAAAATGAAATCAGCTTTAAAAAGATAAAATGTGGAGAAGGCAAGAGCGAGAAGAAACCTCCTCTCTCCTGAACACACAGTCTGCCCATTTAAAATGTGAGGTAAAATGAAATAGAGAAACAGGGTACCAGTTCTTTTGCAAATTTAATCTCACAAAATGTGCATGTCATGTACAATTGGCAAACTTCGAGGACGCCTATGCTGTCTCCAGTTTAACTGTTCCCAGCTGTGGTTCATCAACTCTGGAAATTGTTCCTGACACGTAGCGTGTTCATTCCCACTCCTTGGAAATGAGGTGTAATTGGCAAGTTAATTTAGCACAGTTGCTTCAACTTTGGAAGTAATGTTCACGGAAGGGTGTGGATGCATCTTTAAAGAAAGTAGGTCAGCTTTGGACATTTTATGGGGATGTTCCCTGAGTTGATTTTCTTTACTCTCACAGTCTCACAGAACTTTGAAGAACCCTTCAGAGATAAGAGTAAAAAGATTGGGTCCAGCTTTGGTATTTAGAGAAGACAGGAAATACTGGGGTCCGTCATACGGTTTCACTGTAACCAGATTATTATTATTTATAAGAATACACTCTCCAACAGTCTCATGAATGGCTGTTTCGTTTCACATGACAAATTTCTTGAATTAATGGATGCTGATTCATGGTTTGTTTTCTGGTAGTTCTTCGTCAAGTCCAGCCGAAGTTTACTGTCACCAGCGCCAAGGCGGATGAAAGGTTCCTGAAGACTCTCCAAGATCTTTGTGGGGGTGAGTGCCCTGTCTTGGCTGCGGTGTGTCCCTCAAACCATTTTATATGTAGTTTTGTTCACATTGTTCAGCAACTACATCACTGCGGTCATTCCATGACAAGTAAAGTTATCTTATAATCAGCAAGTAGTCATTTGCCTTTTGCGTTAAAATGTGTTTTCATGCTGAAATGTTAATCTCATCAGAGAATGAAAGGCATTTACATGCTCATACATGTACGTTCCAAGCCAGTAAAAAACAAGCACAGAATCTCAAGAAGGATCTTAGCCGAATTGCTCTGCTTGCCAGCTATACCATTTAGAATGCCCGCCACAATATTGCCTGGAAAAACTGTCCCTACGTGAAATTGTAGATCTTTGGTGATTTCAGCTCCCCCCTTGTTACGTGTACTTCAATTGGTTTTAATTTCTGGGGTTCATAACCTTTTTAATACAATCCACTTTTTATTGTTTAGGGTAAAGATCTTTGTATAGTGAAAGTAATTTTTGATTTTTAATTAGTGTTGTTTCATTTTCATCTGCACCCTGCATGCGTTTCTGTTTCGAAACGGTGCCCAGGGTTCCAGGTACATTCTTAATGTTGTGAAATAAAGAATGAATTTATATGCAAACAATGCCAGATAAGCTCGCAACAATCATGTCATATTTGCAGTGGTCAGTTTCAAGTTAAACCACCATTGAATAATACATTACATAACTTAATGTTATTTCTTGAGCAGTGTTGCATTTGAGTCCATCACAAATCCCTGCAAGTCCCTGTAAGTCCATCACAGGTCATTTTGTCGTAGCCAATTCACAAGCTATTCAAGTGAACTGTTATTGTTTACTGCTCGCCTTCCCCTTCCTTGCGACATTCCTAGTGAACTGATTGAATTGTTGAGGCCTACACTGTGTATCTCTCTCCCAAAAGACCACACAGTCACTTGTACTGTACTTTCTCATCTAGAATACATACATCGTGGCTTCTTCAGTGCGTAATTAGAATGTGACAGTGTAGTTTCCTGACTCATTCCGACTTCTGAAAAAGGGGAAGGGGGGAAGAGCATGGAAGACAGGTTTCACAGACCCCACCCAACAGTATTGCATAAGTGGGAAAGTCAAGTGTTGGTCACCTGCATCTGCTGAGGTAGATGTAGTCCATTGTGTTGTCAAGCTGACAGATTGCAGGTCTACAGGGGACGTGACTGTCCTAGTCTTACCCAGGTCTGCTCTAGCACAGGTGGTGTTAGTTTGGACAGTCCACGGCAGTTTGGCTTTTGTCCTAAGTATTTCCACCGAGTTGAGCTTCCTCCCTCTTCTGAAGGAAGAAACTCCCTCATTGTCTCCTTCCCGTCAACCCTTCTGAGGTTCTCCAGGGGGGATGAGACAGGGCTTTATCTGACAAAGAAGCAGCCAACTTGAGATACGCTCCTATCATGGAGAAAACCCCCACTTGACTCTAGACCCTCCATGGACCTGCAAAGTGCCAGTGATCCACACGACTCATAGTTGACATCCTCTTGGTAGACTGAAGGTCCTCCCTCAGTGTCTTTAATTTACACGTGGAAATCTTGTAAAATATTGCACTAACACGAAACACAGCCGGCACTCACACACGTTTCCAATCAAGCAATTTGACTACAGACTGGTAGGCATCAACCTGACAGAGCTATAGAGGAAAATTACTAATTTCCTCGTAGCCTCGGCCATTAACAAAAGCACGCTATTATGGCGGTTCACACCAGGATGCCATGACTTGCGATAAAAAACGGCTGAAGGCTTCTCGTATTTCGTACTCTGCAGTGCGCTGGGACAATATATCAGGACGGGACCTGATAACGTGGCTAACAAGGCCATAAGTCAACTTGGAGTTGTTGATCATGATTTTCTGCTGGGGGATTTCTTCAGTCCAGAGGTTCAGGCCGCCAAAAAAGACAAGAGAAACTTCTTGATTGATTTTGAAGCTGTGGTCAAAATGAGAGTATCATTTTCTGAAGTTGGTGATTGCATTGCCTTTGTTCATACTCTCCTGAAATTTGTTTGTTAAATGCTCACAGCATTGATTCAGTCCGCAATAAGGCATCAGACCTCATGTCCAATATCAGACTTTCCAACTTGCTCAACAAAAGCTTAACATCCTACACACAAAAAAAAGTACGAGAACAAAGAGAGTATTTTCATGATACCAGCATTTCCACAAAGAGTTTTTTGGAGAAGCATTAAATGTATAGTATCTGAGCTTTTTAAAGTAAATTTGAGCAACCTATTCATTTTAATCTGTCTGAGAGCAGCAAATTGTCTGCAGGTCTGATAGGGAGTGCTCAGCGCACCTTGCACAGTGTTGGAGTGGCTGGAGGGACCGTCAATATTCGGCACAAGGTGCTCCCACCAAATTGCAAAGGGCCCCGCTTCCCTTGTTGAGTGCTGGCCCTATCAACATGTTTATCTTTCCAAATCAGGCTTTCCTGGGATTCGCCAGTGAAATACGTGCTCACTCACCAAACATTTCCAGCAGTGTGCATTGGTGAGGGGGGGGGAAGCTTTTAGAGAAAACCATCCCAAATCCCACTTTGTTTCAACACTTCAGTCAGACTGTGGCGCCGTATCATATCGTCAAGTGTTGCTGGCATGTTGCCATTATCTGAAAAAGCCAGATTCCCCCCCCTTGCCAACCTGGGAAACCGAACATCTCTCACTCAGCATGTTGTCTTCCTTACAAGATGATACAGGTATGCAGGTTAAACTTGGATTACTGGAACTTACATGTACAATGTACCTGTGTTTAATTAGAGTCTGTTGAATTAGTGCATGGACTCTTGGTGGCGCTGTGGCCTACTCACAACAGTCAAAGAGTGGCATGTTAAATGTGTACACATACATGGTATAAAAGGTGTGAGCCAGAGGTTATGTCTGACAAGGATTGGTATAGTGATCTTTTAAAGAGTTTCTTACTGTATTTGTTGTGCTTAACTCTATTTGCTTTGACTTATCACAGGAACAGGACGAGACTGCTTTCTGTATTGTGTCATAGATGTTGTGTAACTTGTCATCACGTACACGTACAATGATCAAATATTCTATTGAAAGTGACTTGTTATCCTGTCTGTGCCCTTGAAGCATCAGGGACTAGCAGGCTGAAAGATAAAGAACCTCAAGAAAAAAAAGCCTAGTAACTGGTGAACCTGCTGCAGGAATGTCACTGGCGTTATTATCTCTCGGTACATACCTGCTTGGCACTAACAGGCCTCGGCCTTGGTCGTAGCGGATGAGAAGTGACTGCGGCTTTAAAGAGTGAGCAACAGTTGGCTCATCAGCTGGCCACTTATGTCAGGCCGGGAGAATGACGCACCTCTCCCTTAAGTGCAATGGGGGGTCACAGCTGGCCTGCGTTGCCTTTCAGTCACAGCTTTTTGGGGTATATTGCTCAGTCGTGGGAGTTGAGGGGGATGCCAGCACTAAAGGCTGTCGTTCAAATTCCATCTACCGCTGTCTTAAAGTCTTACCAATCTGTGGCCAATTTGAAGGTTACTCATGTAGCTCTTTATCTGCGGTCAAATAATCGGCCAGTTAGCCACAAAACGATACTTTTGAAGGAGGAAGTTAGGGTACTCATTTGTCATCAGGTACCCCACATGTAGCACCTAATGGAGGAAATTATTATGTACAGTTTATAATCAACTTTGAAGAGTAATCCTTTCGGTACTGTTTCAAACAACAGCATGTTCATTGATCTAAAACATAATCAATTAACGCTAACAAATAAGGGAAACAGTCCACGCATTTGCTTTTTAATCTGTCTCTGAGACCAAACAAGACCAGAAACTTTTTCTATAAACGACAGCCCTTAGAGGTCATTATCTGTCACCAGAGAGTTCTTTTTGGTCCATGTTCTATGGAATCAACCAAAGTGAAAATATTTTGTGCTGGAGATTTCCGTCTCTCTTGAAGAGTGCTGCAATATGGCATCATAAGAACTGACCATTGCTTGCCCTGTGGGTAAGATTTGTGTGTTGGATTTAAATCCTCACCTTGTTCTTGATCACAAAGTTTAAATGTCATTTCACCCACACTGTCTCCACCTTTTGTGGGACCTGGGTTTGAATCCCACTCAGATCGATGTGTGGTTTGTGTTTTCAGTATGTGCTTTACCCAGAAAAATCACTTCAAGGTTTTCCCCACTGATGTTTCCTGTCCTCTCTCTGTAGGTTTCTTCAAGTTTCTCAGCGGCATTGTCCTTCATGTACAGTGTGCTTTTGAGAAATGTACGGCTTCGTAACTGGTACAAAATTAATTGAATTAATCCACTGAAAAAAATAGGCTTTTCTGTGAAACCTAGAACAAACAAAGCAACACTCTCCGTGACTCTCAGCCAGTGTGATCATTGCCAAGAATAATGTGGCATCCCCGCACCTATGAATCAGAGTTCTATATTTGCCCCGTACCCGTGCAAAGCTCTCCACCGGCCTACCACACAGCTTTCCCAATTATGGAGCAAGACGGCAAGTGGTGTTAGAAAAGAGTTGACACACTCTGAGTGTACCCAACACCCTTGATCCCTTCATGCCAGGCCAAATTATCCCAGCCAACTCCCTACCATTACTCTCCTCTCTCATTAGCAAGAAAAAAAAAAAAAGAGGGGGAGGTGTTAAGATTGCACCCCTCAGTCTTACTCAACCCTTCAGCTGTGATTAAGGGGGTCGAACAACAAGGCGGCTTGAGGAGACGGTACATTGCGGGGGGTGACACCCCAAGCAGATGGGGGATTTCCTTGCCGGGCTATATGGAGTATCGTGATACAACTATGGATGTAAACTGCTGCGGAGCTGTAGCCTTGAGGTGGTGACAGTGGATAACATGTTCAGCACATGGCTGATGGGTTCTTGTCAGAGGTGGTTAACAATGAAGCCGAAATCAAAGTCGGAGGTTCTCTCCCCACCCCCCCTCCTTCAAGATCCTCAGTAACACATGGTGGACGCACTGCCACAAGTCCAGTTGACATTTTGGGTTATGCCTAGAAAGAACAAGGAAGCTGCAATAAGGCCTGACTCACATGTGAATTGTGGAAGTTATGAGATTCAAAGCTTTCTCTAAGGACTGATATCACAGCCCTGCCAAATTCCATGAAAAGCTGACTCTTCAAGTTCTTCACAGGCCTCCTCAAGCCGCGTTGTTCACCCCACACAGCAGGACATTTGAATTTGTTTTTAAAACCCAAAAGGGTATTTTTGCACCTAAAACATGCAGACACGTTATTTTCGTCAAGACTACTAATCTAATGCCCTCATGTAAAGAATGCTCCATTTATCTCTTCAATGGGTTTATCGGTAAAGCTTAAAATGCCATCTTCCAAATATGTCCCAGGTGAATGGGCAGTTGCATGCAGACAGGAAGACTTTCAACTGGAATGGGTCGATAAAACATAGATAATGGATTGAATGGAGTTCATGAACCCTAGTGGACGGTGAACTACATGTACTCTAGGGTTATTCACCTTTGTGAAGGAGTTGGATGGTTGAAATGGTTTTTACAATGATGTTATCTTTCCCTCAGGCTTAGTGTGCGCACATCAAGCTTAATTCCCTGAATTTTAAGGTCTCTTCTCCCATAATTGAAATTACTGATTCGGCTAGGTCGTGATTTGTCTGATACCAGTTTTAAGGATTTATGCCAAGAGGGTAGGATTTTGGATTAAGCAAAAATTACCTGGCTGGACATTTATGTAGGCAAGTTGATAAATGTGACATTGGGTTGGGTTTGCAGGTAACACTAAGGCATCAAATGCCAAGAATGAACAATTCTATTAGTTGTGATTGGACTGGTGATGGACGCAACTATATCCCTGGTTTGCTTTGTTGACTCAGATACCAAACCAACGATAGAGCACCAGCAGACATCCTCTTTCTCGGACCAGGGGACAGAGGGGAAACCTGAAAGCTCACCAGGAGACAAGGAGCTCCAACTGCTGCCAAGTAATGACTACAGTGAGTGGCTTCATCCAGAACTCTTTCTTAATCACTCTGGTGGCTGTTTACTTCTACCTTTGAATATTTTTTAACCTCAACTGATTGAACTAATGTTAACTGGTCTTCAGAGATGCCAAATAAGATTCTGATGGAGAAGGTTAAAGCTGCCATGACGTCACTGGTAATCAAAACATTGAGTCAAACACATTTGATTCAACAGAGTAAAAGAAAAAGTGCCAATTCCTGAGTGCTTCCAGGTTTTAGGACAGATGATTGATGGTGATGGTGACTCAGTGTTTATAATTGCAATTTGAGAACTGTGGGTGCTAACATACGGTGTCAAGCCTTTAATCCTGCGAAAATGTGCTCCAAAAGTTCCAAGTTACATATATGTCATAAAAGACTTATGAAGAGATTGCTCAATCCTTAGGAGCCAATTTTAAGAGCATCCGTCTTGATTTTCTCAGGGGTCTGACCTGCCATCTGCTTCATGCAGGGGCAGATGAGAGTGCAACTTATGAGCCACAGTGTGGCATGAACTTTCTCAAGACTTCATCACACCCACTTTTGTTTTAAACCAAGTTGCCATGGTAACACTTCCCAGGGACCTTACTAAATGGGGCCCCTACTCCCAACCGAAAGCTAGAGATATAATCTCTCTAAATGATCGAGACAGTAGGCTTCATGTATTCATACATACATGATGCAAATGAGGCCAGACTTTACGACTCGCATTCATGGTTAAGCGAGGATGCTTTGTTACCTAGCAACAGCGTCTTTTTAAGCTTACACAACATGCTCATCCACCAAGCATATTTATGGTGGGATGCACTAAGCACCTGGTACTTGTATGAAGTTTCCTTAAAGGAGTCATTTTCTTCAAATGTCAGCCTTGCCTGTCTCTTTTTCACCAGCAAGGATGCACTTGTGCACAGTCTAGAGCGTCCAGTTGAACAACACATTTATGTGCAGACTATTTCATTTGCGTAGCCTTCAGTCCCTTAACCCTAACACTCCTCAGTCCTCCAACAGGTGAAGGATTGAGGAGTGTTAGGGTTAAAGATAGTGGGTCTTGACTGACCAGGCTACCCTTAATGCACGAAACTCGAAGTAAATAAATTCATGAGTCGCTAAATAACTACAATCTCCCATATAGAATCGTGTGTTAGTGATGACCTGTGATGATAACTGATTCAGATATTGGCTGCTCTCAAAACTGTCGAGAGATTTTGAAACTTTTGACAGCATGAATGACATGCAGGTATTGGTGAGTCGGAAATCAAGAAAAACAAATCAAGATTTCCAGTGGCAGTTTGACGAGGTTGAACTCAGATCTACTTTTGCATTGTCCTCTGGGGACATTTCCTCCAGGTCTCTGAACGATCCATTGCCAACAGATAACTTAGCCAAGACTTGACAATGACAAATTTCATTACTCCCAGAGTCATGCGAGTGTCCCAGAATTCCTGGCTACATGTAGGCCCTAGATGTGTAAACCCTCGTGAAACATTTGACACTAGTTGTTCAAAAAAAAAAAGGAGTCAGCAATGTTTCACCCCTCGCAATTATCTTTGCATCCCAAGGTACATGTACTTACATGTGGCTTCAATTTTTTCTTGGGTGCTGGTTTCTTTTTTTTTTTTTAACAGCAGGCAGTGGAAAGACTCAAACAGTTGTGGTACACTCCGTTTGATTCACTGAACAACCATAGATTGGCCTGCTGAAACTTTTTTCTCTCTTTGTTTGTGTTTTTTGTTTTCACTTTTGGAGTAAAGCTACATGTACAAACACTTCTTTAACCCTAACAGTCCCAAATCCTCCAATTTCGATACGATTTTTCATACACCCTAGGGGGTTAGGGCTAACCCTAACAGTCCCAAATCCTCCAATTTCAATACGATTTTACATACACCCTTGGGGCTTAGGGTTAAAAGGTTGAGGGAGACAAACTTAAGCACAAATTGCAGGTAGTTGTGCTCATGAATTCCTCCGTATCAGTGCTCTTCACCATTTTTGGCTGTTGAGGGATAACGTGATCTTGTCCGTGAGGTAGCGTTGGCATGCCTTTTGATTTGATGCTTGCTGGCTTTTTTGTTGCAGCCTTAGAGGTCTGCAAGCGTCGCATCCTGGCGATGAGTCTACCTTGCATCCCCGAGAACTTCACCGAGGCTGAGAGGACCATCTTCTTCTCATCTCTTGTCCCTTTTGACTGTCACTGCATGGTAAGAAAGAGTAGAGGCTCGAGTCATGGAGATGGAACAAGCTCATTGCTTGGTTGAGCTCATGGGTTGGGCTCATAGGATCATGGGCAGAGCTTGTGACCCGAGCACATGGGCTGAGTATTCAGACTGACCTCATCGTGGGATGAGTTCATGGGCTGAGGTCATGAGCTCAGTTGCTGAACTCATGGGCTGAGTTCATGGGCTGAGTTCATGGGCTGATCTCTTTTTGTGTAAAAGTGAAGGTGTGTAAATTTATCCTTGATAAATTTTCCTTCCTTTAGAAGTGACAGGACTTAACAGCTTTCAAGGCATATTATGGTCATGACGACGTAGAGTGTTCTGAACTTTCACGGTGAGCTGTTTGGTGTCTTGCCCACCCCCTTGATGTTGCAGCTTAAGGTGGACATTTAGCAGGCATGCAACTTGCAATCAGATCAGTTAATTTCCTCATGTATTACCTCCAACATACACACCACTACAAATTGGAAAGTACAAAGTCTTATGCGTCTCAGAATTTCCTCTTTTTTCCCCCTACTTCCATGTTGCGTGCTTTTTGGGGTTTTTTGCGTGGCAAAAGACGAAAGTGAGTGCTAGCCTGCTTTATCAGCTGCTCGGGTTCTGTCAGACCGTCCGTCCTACATTCTGGTAATGGCTCCAACCTGAGGTGGGTGTCGAGATCTATGCCACTGCCAAGAAGTCTTGAAGGGAGGGTATTGCGTGGTCGGGGGGTATTGGGGATTGGTGAGTCACCCTACGTGTGTCATAGTGATGATATGATCAGGAAGTTGCCTTGTTAAGAGAACATGCAGGCCATTAATTGGAGGCACATAGTCCTTGGTCTGTTTTTTTCCCTCCAGATTTTTTTGGGAGGGGGATGGAAGGGTAGGAGGTGAAACTGGCCACTCAGGTGGAAGGACCATACGTTGGTTCCCCCAGCAAGTCTTCTACCCGTGCAAATGTTTCAGCTCCTCGGCAGCGTTTTGTCAGATCCTAAGGGCCAATTTTCATAGTGCTGCTTACCAGGAAATCTTCAGGGTTCCTACAGTCAAGGAGAATCTGGAAAATCCTTGAAAAAAAGTTGTCCTGGAAAGTCATGGAAAACTGAGGGAAAATAGCATGTCCTGGAATCCTGTTGCCAGAGGAAAGGTCATGGAAGAGTCAATGAAATGAAAATCATGCAAGGATTACTTTTGAGAAGCGCTTTTGATGTGACAACAAAGAATGAGAAATTGACAAGCTTTATCCTTGTCAGTCTGCAGTAATGGCTATAGCAGTTGTCTGGTGCATAAAACCAATGCAAACCAGTGGTATTAAATGTCATGGAAAGCATCATACTTTACTCTTGGAAAAGTCTTGGAAAAGTATGGAATTTTGGTCTCAGATTTCTCAGGGAACCCTTCTTGCTCAGCCAAGTTTACCCAGTAGGTGCTAAGCAGAAACCAACAGGCCCCTACTTACGGGCAGTAAAGTCACCATGACTTTCTTGTCTGGATCTTATTCTTGCTAAGCAGATAATTGGTGCGCTCAGTGAAGTGTCTCCACTTTGAGGCTCTGTGAATTTTACCCCATTTGCCACTGATCCATTTTAGCCTTGTTGTAAATCATGTGGCCAATCTGTGCCTGGAGTTTACTCACAAGGCAACTGCATCATTATTGCTATGATGCGACCCTTTCCCCTTCTCTGAAACTTCTGAACTGAAGCACAGTTGTGTTCCTTGCCGTCTTTTGCCTTGCATTACCCCTCTCATACAAATGGGCAAAGCAACTTTGACTTCATCAGCCATAGGTGTTGTTAAGCCCACATGTGGAAGGTTTTTGTCTAAAGTTCCTCAAACCCAGGCTAGTGGAAAATCTTGAGATTAGGAAACGTTTGGAACAAGCAAAGGAAGTGATTTGAATATCAACAATCAAAGTCCAGTCTTCGTGGATGGAACGTTGCAAATCAAAACCTGGACCTCTGAACCCAGCCCTCTTTTGTTTCCCAAAATGTGAGAAATCCCCCCACCAATGTGCCAAGGAAACAAGAAACGCGTCGTCATAATTATTGTCAAAGCCCTGTCACTGATAAGTGATCACTTTGATATTGGTCTCCCATGATCACTCTTGGTGAAATCTTGCCCAAACCACTCCATTACCAAAGTGACAAATGATCGTCTGACATACCGTGTACACTTGTACACTCACTAGCTGTGGAAGATTGCACATGTGTATGTCATCTTCAATTTATTAATCCGGAAAAATCTCCAAATCCTTCAAATTGCATTAGTAATATCTAAACAAGAAATTAACCAGACGTATAAATCAGTGCTTCCTAAAGTTTTTTTTTGCGGGGGGGTAAAACAGCATGCTTAGCAGGTCCATTTCACACAGACTATATGCATTCATGCTTTAAGGCGTGCCTTCCGTAGTAATCACTCATGTCAATCTGCATCCACATTCGTAGCCACAGCCAGCAGTATTACTCTTGTTTTGATGAAAGCTTGCAGCTAGCGGCTGATTGCATTCCCCATAGATGTGTGCGTTATTGTCAGCTTTAGCCAAATGACTAAGACACAGCTTTATCAAAGGACATTTCTGCCATGCCCCTGTGTTTACCGGTAAGCGCGTTCTTCTGAAAACGAGTTGCTTGTACAGTACCTAACGTTGTGCAGCGTGCAAATGAAAACATGCACATGACATACATGTATCCGTCACTCTGTGTAGATAATTATGGATCCAATTATCTTGAATTGACACAGAAATTGTACGAGGGGGCTGCCAAAGTGAATTGGCTGTAAGAATCATGGTAGGAAACTGCCCAGGATACACGTGGATCCACAAAAAAACCTGCCAGTACATTGCTGCTTGACCGCAGTACCCATATGAAGACGCTTGCTGTCAGAAACTTCAGAAATGAAACACCTCACACTCTCGTGAGATGGGTCACCCAGGAAGCTGTGACTCATCCCTGGTGCCATGTCATGACGATGTGGAGTTTGGCCCAACTGGTTCTAGTTAAGGCCAAGGAAGCTTGTTTGTAGTGTTTGTGTCAGACGTGGAAGCAAGCCGGTGAAATATTATGCCGCCTGTATATTCTCTGACACCTTTCATTTGGGCAGGCTAATTGTGATACTGGTGGTGCCGCTGGTGTGGCGTTAGTCATCCTGGAACGAAACCCTCCCTGAAGTCTGTAGGATGAAGCACGCCAAAGACTGTAAAGAGGAAATGTGCAGATTGTGGCAAGTAAGCCTCCATAGCTAGCGGCTAGAGACACCTTTCCACGTGGTGGTAACGGTTAGGAGGAGATGAGAAGATTGTGACAAAGTGTCCAAGGACACCTTGCCATGCGGTGTTTACCTCTAGAAAAAAAGATTGTGGCAAGGTCTCCAGCTCAGGACTCAAACCCTTTGTCTGTATTGTTTGACCTCGATGAACATCTTATTACAAGATGTTGTCAGTCTCATCACACGTAAACATTTGGCACTAGCTGTCTCATTTGTAGGCATCTTGGTGTTATGAGTTCATTGTCCCTATTCCAGAGGACCCGTAATCTTTGTGCAGTAGTAGGAAAAATGTAGTTAGCAGTAATGAAATTAGTTGGATGAGTAGATGAGAAGTAACAAAGAATAACACAACACCATGTGAACGAAATGACCTCAAGAGAACGCTTCTTGTCAAAGGTTATTCTGTGGTTATCTCTTTGGTGCTGGGGAAGCGACTTGTTTGCTTGTGATCTGTGTTCTTTCTGGGGATTTCATGAAGGCCCATTTTTGCTCAGAAGGGATCTGTTGTATGTCACACGGGACAAGGGGCTCCACCTTTTGGCCCTGGGTCTGCTGTTGTACACGTACCTTTGCACCTCACTCCTGGCACCTTCAGGCTGCGTTGTTTTTCTACGTAACTTTACCTGGTGAAGAGCTTGTCACAAGAACTGTGAGTACTTACGAATTTGCTTGTAGGGGGTTAGGTTTTCTGTGTTCTCTATTAGAGGGAATGCTACAGCAGGTGAAGGGGTGTACCTTGAGAGGGGGGGAGGTTATACGGGGAGTGATTCATGACTCATACGGTGCATGTGTCAGCAAATGATCTTGACTGGATAAGCATCCTCCAGTACTGTAACTTCCGCCGAGCTGCCTGCCAGCCTGCCTGGCAGCACGTTGCACGTGCCCACCACCTTGCCCCACCATCCAAAACCTGTCCTTTCCCCACTCACCAAGAAGAGAGAAAGAGAGGGTGAAGAAAAAAAAAGTCCCTTTGTCGGTGACTCCTCACTTTAAATTACATCGCCCCTTGGGTCGGAGTGTGGCCCTGCCCCCGGGCCAAGGCGGGAAATGCCATTATCCAAGATTGTCAGGTTTAATCCTGCCGATTCCCCCGCGTCCCTCTGCCATCCTTTCTCCTAATCAACTGATTGATATCCAATAAAATGGCAGGGAAACTGGAAATTATTTCATCTGGTTTTCATGTTCTTGTGGCATCTCTATTTTCTTTTGGTGTCATGGAGGTGGTGGGGGGGGAGGATGTCATACCGTTAACTCTTAATTTCTGCCGACTAATGCCCTCTTAGCCCTGGTAGTGGTTTCATTTTCCCTTGTTCCTGCAAAAGTCAAATCTGTAGATTAAGGTCAGGGAAACACATACTTCACCTTTCATGGCCTTCCTCTAAAACCTACCAACAGGTGGATTAATTTTTCAAGTGTCTGTTTGTTTGACAGGTTAGTGGTTAAAGCCTTTCCCTGTAATTCTCTGAAACTGATAACACCTTTTTTTAGCTTTGTGTCCTTTAGGAAAGATCCTAATCTATTAAATAAAGATTATACTTTTTCACTGCTACATTAGTATCTGCATCTTTTAACTAGTGAACCTCTAGGATTAGGAAGTTGAGCCTTTCATCGGTTCTTTAAATTAAAGTCTGTTGGATAATCACATCTAGTTTTGATAAACTTGAGTTGAATATAAAATGGCATGCAGATGATTAGAGAATGCCCCACAAAGCCGCGTCGCACGCACATACCATGCGT